ATCTCTCATGTTGTTTCTATGGGCTTCATTATGATTGTCCCATTGGGGCTCCTGATGTGGAAATTTCCCCTCTGTGGGCACCTGGCTGGGGCCTGCGGGTGCTCGTGCTCCCAGATAGCTGTCTCCTCCTCCTCCTCCTCTCTTCCCCAGAAAACAGAATACTCAGGATCGATGTAGGGTTGTAGCGGTACCCTCGGTGGGTCCAAAAGAGAGACAGCCTCCCAAAATCAAACCCAGAAACCGGGACTTGATGCAAAAAGCAAGAGGTTTTATTACAAGCGCGGCGCAGGGGCTCACAGCGTCACCAAAAATGGCTAGCTGCAGCCCCTGACAATTACAAAGCTGGGGTTTATAAAGGCAAAAACCACACGCAGGTGGCTGGGATAAGAGGAAGCTTAGGGTGGGGTACGACTCCAGGAAGTCTGGAGTGGGGTAATTCCAAGAGCTGTAATCGACACTCACAGGCAAGTTTAAGCAAGAACATACGGGGGGGAGGATTCTGCTATAACCTTACATCGACACGAGCTCAGCCCATGTGTACATCCGGGGCCCTAGAAATTGATCCAACTGATCTGCAACCCCATGTGGGTCTAACAGAGGTTTTAGCTCTTTGTTTAAATTTCTGACTTCCCAAGTGGTAAGGGGAATATTAACAAACCCCATTCCTCCGCCACCTAGGGGAAGTTCCAGAAGTGGGTATAAAGCCTGGGATTTTTCTCCACGGGAAGGAGAAGGAAATTTTTGGATGTCCTTCTTACATTGCTCTATTTCTTTTCTTAAATTAGAGAGCGAAGGGTACAGGGCTGGGGAAGGAGCTGGGGCCTTGCGGGAGGTTGGGGATCCGCCTCCTCCCTCCAGGGGGCCAGACAAAGGCCGCCATTTTGAGAACCCTCAGCACGTGGGCTTTGGGGGGGGTTGAGAGGAGGGGAGCAGAGGGCTTCCCTTTTTCCTCTTTCCTGTTTCTTTATTGTCTCTCCCTTTAAGAGGGAACAAAACAGGATCCTTTCTCCAACAGAGGGCACAGTCGATTTCTTCCCGAGAGGGCTTTTGCTATTAACACATTCAATTAGAAGTTGGCAAACCCAGTCTTCATCGGAACCAAATCTGGACCAAGCCACAGAGGGTTTAAGAATGGGTTCTTGCGTCCAAATGAAACAACAATATTTTACCATCTGTTGTTTCTTTTCCCCTGTAGTTCAGGCATGGCCATGCCACTATTTTAGCACTAGTCCAAGCACGCTGTCAGGGCGAGTTTTATCTTTACTGCTATTTTCTCTAGAGATTTCCTCACTTGTGTCATTTCCCATCCCCGCTTCCCGGCTGCGCGTGTCCTGGTCTAGAGGGCCGACCCCGCCCCTGGAGGTTTCTCACACTCCCGCTTCCCTCCCGGGAATTTGGGCTCCTCTTAACGGTGGCGTGTCGGCGTAAACCCCCGACTAGACTCTCGTTCAAGACTAGAAACCGCCTTCAGGGTATGAGGCAGCCGCGGAACCGCGGATCGGGACTTGACCGTCGCTTCGTGCCCGAGGCACGTCTCTGTCACACGCACACACCCTCCGGAATGCCCGGCCACCAGGGAATACTTCGTCGCCCCGCGACTGTCTTTCCTTGGTCTGTGCAGAGTTACCTGGTCCCGCGGTTCCCGCTCAGGCCTTTTCCCTGCGCTGCCGAGAGCCCGGGTTCATTCCCCGCTTTGGCGGGTCTGGGTCACCTCGACCCCGAGGGCTGCCACGAGGAGGTAGCAGCACGCGTCTCCCCAGGAGCGGGATCGAGTCCTCCTTCCACAGGAATGGGCGACCCCCGCGAGCCCCAGATTGTGAGAGGCGCCCGCGGAGTCGCCAAGGAAACAGGCTGGAGCCGGCCTCGGCCAGGCACGGCCTTTACTTCTGGCCACAAGGGCGGCGGCGGGAAGCCAGCCGGGGCGCTGCGGGGGGGGGGGCAGTCACCCTTTTATCCCGGGCGGACAGCCCGGCCCTGCCCACTCGCCACGGCGGGACACGCAGGAAGGGGGCGGGGCTCCCGGTGCGGCGACCGCCAAAGGTGGTGGGCAGGTCAGGCAGAGCGAGGTGCGCGGACGAGTTACCCCCCGACACTCTGGCAGAAAAGACTGAGCCAAGATCACCCCGCCCTACACCCCGACCCCGCCGCGCCTGGCCAACCCCAGCAGCGCTTCTAGCTCGGCCCCGCCCCATGCGCGTGTCGCACAAGGCCCGCGTCGCACGCGGGGCCACGTCGTGCCGTCATCAGGCCGCGCCGTGTGGGCGTGGCTGGCGTGGGTCCCGCCGCCCGAGCGCGCGTTATGGCCGCGGCCGCCGCCAGCCCCCCGGAGGTGATCCGCGCGGCGCAGAAGGACGAGTACTACCGCGGCGGGCTGCGGAGCGCGGCGGGCGGCGCGCTGCACTGCCTGGCGGGTGAGGGCGGGCCGGGTGGCCGGGGTCACCTTGCGACCGTCCTGCGGCCTGGGGCGCCGGCAGCCAGGTGGCTGCGGGGGACGCCTGGCGCGTCGGTCCGGCCGGGCCGTCCTCTGCCACCGCCCGCGCAGCCGCTCGCCCTGCGAACCCCGGTCCGCCCGCCTCTCCGGCGTGAGCTGAACCGACAAGCGGTGCGCCCAGACGCCGGCCGAGTCCGCTTCGGGGGCGTCGCCTCCGGGCGAGCGGGACGTGGAGAGGCGGCGGCGGGACTGGACGGCGGGTAAATTCCGGGCGGCAGCCAGGCCCCCTGCTGTGGAGGCCGCCGGATGCCGGATGCCGGGCTGGGACGCCTTTGGCAGGTTTTGAGCAGGGAAGTGACGATCAGAAAATCTTTTTATGCATTTATTTTACAAAACACTTTACTCCTACTCAGCACCAGTTACTGTTCTTGGTGCTTTACAAATATTAAATATTAACTCGTGTAATCCTCAAACACGGGTAGGACTTACTCTGCTCACAGATGGGCAAATTGAGGTTCCAGAGAGATCTCACAACCAGCAGTTGGAGACCTGAGATTTGATGCTAGACAGTTGGTCTAGCTGTAGTCTCAGTCACTGCCCTAGACTGTCTTCCATGGGGCCCTGTAGGCTCTAGAACAGTTGCCCAGAGCGATCCCGGAGCCAGAGATGGCTGCAGGTGGGAGGTTCTCAGGAGGTCCTGTCTTCAGCCCAGGCAGAGGCAGGTGAGTCGGAGACACGGTGGTGCTTCCTGAGACAGAGAAGCCCAGCGGATGGCACGGGAGGCCGGGGAGAGACTGGAGTGTGGCTGCGGCAGTCTTAGCTTCATGGAAGGATTGTCGCCCCTAGTCCTTTGAGGATCCCCACCACCTCCCCAGGAATAATGGTGTCCGTTTCTCCTCTCAGGTGCGAAGAAGTGGCTGGAGTGGAGGAAAGAGATTGAGCTGCTCTCAGATGTGGCCTATTTTGGCCTCACCACACTTGCCGGTAGCAGGACCTTGGGACTGAGGGGCCCACCACCCACACCAAGTCCAGGAGACAGTGCAGGGTGGGAACACTGCCGGGCAGAGTGGGAGTCCCTGGACCAGAGCGGGAGGCGTGACTGAGACTCATTCCAGAGGGAGGCCAGGCCTCAGCCCCAGGCAGGGGCCTCTCCTTTCATCCTTTTTGTGCCTTTGGGGACCTTGGTCCAGGGCTTTGGCCAGGGTGCCCTTGGGACCTATTCTTCAGTCCTGGTGGCACACGTGGGTCAAAGTGGCGAGGCCCTGGTGAAGCAGGGGAGGGTCTTGGCCCAGGCTGATTGTCATCCTTCAGAGGGAAGAGCGGGCACAGAGTGCCTGCTCTGGTCAGTAGGACACAGACCGCGTTGCACTCAAGGCATCTTGGGAGGTGATAAGCTCATTAGAAAGGAAGGCTGTATCTGGGGGATGAGCACTTTCCAGACAGGTGAGGCAGCAGTCAGGGCAAAGCCCCGGAGGAGGAGGCGTCCTTGGTGACTCCAGGGCTCTGTAAGCCTTTGGCTTTCCCTCTGAGAGGAATGGGGCATCACAAGGACATGGGAAGGGGAGAGGCCGACCGCTGGCCACCAAGACCACACCACAGGAGACAAAGACGGAGGCAGAGAGACTGCCCAGAGGCTGCTGAAGCCCACCACAGGGAGGTAGTGAGACGTGCGGGGAAGAGGAGTCCAGGGTGCTCCACGGTTCGGCCTCAGAACAGGAGGGCCGGCGTCGCCATCCACAGAGCTGGGAAGTGGGGAAGCAGGTTTTTCCAGGTGGGGTTTGGAAGCTCAGTGTTGGCAGGGGGGAGTTTGGGGTGTTCATCAAAATCCAGATGGCACTGTCAGGTGGGCAGCTCCTGGCCAGGGTGTCAGTCCAGGTGGCCTCGGCCGTGTGTGAGATGGAGAGCCATGGGACTGGATCCCATGGCTTGTAGGCAGAGGAGGAGCATCTGAGGAGAAAGGGGAGGGCCGGAGTGGGGAGGGCGACACAAGGTCCCGAGAGCCAAGGGCAGCAAGAGTGGCTGGCAGTGTCACATGTGCCTGGGGTCACAGTGAGACCACGCAGGTTAAGCAGTGGGAGGTTGTACTGGCCGGGTGGGGGGGCCATGTTAGAGCTGGTGGATGTGCATTGAGGGGCAACAGGCCAGGCTGTTGATGGGAGCCGGGAGCTGGCCAGGCACCAGGAGCCTGTCCCTGTGTCAGGCACTCCTGGGGCCCACACACTTGTCCTCTTCTTCTCAGGCTACCAGACCCTCGGGGAGGAGTATGTCAGCATTGTCCAGGTGGACCCGTCCCAGAGGCACGTGCCCTCCCCGCTCCGCCGCTGTGTGCTGGTGGCAGTGCACGCCGTCCTGCCCTACCTGCTGGACAAGGCCCTGCTCCCCTTGGAGCAGGAGCTGCAGGCTGACCCCGACGGCAGACGGCCCTCACAGGGGAGCCTGGTGCTTGGCGGGCGTGGCCGTCCTGGGGTGCGGCGCTGGGTGCGGCGCCACACGGCCACCCTGACCGAGCAGCAGAGGAGAGGGCTTCTTCGGGCCGCTTTCGTCTTCAGACAGGGCCTGGCCTGCCTCCAGCGGCTCCACGTCGCCTGGTTTTACATCCACGGCGCCTTCTACCACCTGGCCAAGAGGCTCGCTGGGATCAGTTACGTAAGTAGCAGGGCCAAGGGCACGGCCACTCTGGCCACTCTAGCTGCCGTTGACTGGTTCCATGTATCTGCGGAGCTGGTGCTCTGGGGCGGTGCTAGCTGACACGCCACAGCTAGCGTTCAGCGTCAAGGCTGGAACCAAAGTCCTCTACTTGAAAAGAAGTAGGTTTTGTTTAGTTATGTTTTGCTAAAAAACCCAAGGAAATCCAGTTTCCACAAACCCTGAGCATGGAGTGAGTCTTCCCGCAGCCAGCACCTGTGGGGTGGCCTTGGGCTGGGGGCACAGCCACCAGTGCCAGGCCCTGTGCTGGGCTCTTTACTGACAGAGGGGCTGTCAGTCACACTTGAGACAGATTCCTGAGTACAGGCCTGTGACCGTCCACTTCACTGCTGTGGGTCTCAGGCAGCTTCTCCCCACAGTGCGGGAGCACAGATTCCGGCCCCTCACCCCTCGCCGCCACAACCCCGGCTCCTGGGCCCCTGCCTCCAACCTTCCAGCTGCCCTGAGGGCTATTTTTCAACAGTGACCCTCACGGTGACTGCTTGGGCCTTGTCACCACCAGCATCCCCATGGGTTTCCCTGGCTGGCAGCTGACACTCTTGCCTCCCCTCACGTCCCGTGCCACCGGCACTGCTGTGTGCCAGGCCGCACGAGCACCTTTCAGAACAGCCTCCCAGGACCCCCCTTCCACCCCAGTGCTGCCCTGGGCCCCACCCCACACAGGAGGCCACCGTGGCCATGGTCACAAAGCCACTGGTCAGGTCTCAATCCTCAGCAGACGCAGACCAACGAGCATCCGCCAGCCCGTCATGCACTGGGTACCGTCAGGGTGTTCGCTGAGCTTTTGCACCACAGGCCCTGAATCGGGGCTCAAACCCAACGGAGGGCTCTCCCTCTCCTAGGGCAGCCGGGAGGTGGCTGGGACCCAGCACACAGGCTGGCAGTGTGACCTGCCACCTCCATGTGTGGCTCCCAGCCCCCAGCTGAGGCTGGTCTGGCTGACCTGTGTCCATTTCCTGGCCAGTGGTATGTAGCCAGAAGCTACGTGCGTCACTAGCTGCAGGAGAAGTTGGAACAGTGACCACTGAGGGGCCATGTGCCTTGCAAAAAGTGGGGGCTTCTGTCCCTGCAGCAGTAGCTGGTGGGCAGCGTCTGCGCCTGCGGCCGTCTCCTCCAGCGCCATCTCCTCCCTGCTTGCGCTTCCCTGCCGTTTCTTTTCTCTCTGAGAGGCAGTCCCTGGACACCCCCGAATCCTCCATGTTCCCTGGTCCGTCCAGCCTCGTGCTGAGATCCTGTGTGTGCTGGTGACCCCCAGCTGAGGCCCCGCCTTCACTCAGCCGCCCAGCGGGCACCTCACACTCCCCACACTGTCCCCGGCTTGGTCTTTGCAAGGCCCCCCTGGGGCGGGGAAGAGGCCTTGCCCCCCATTGCTCAGCGCCTTGTGCCGACTGAGTTCATGACTGGACACCGAGCCAAGTCCCTTCAGGGACCTGACGGGTGTGGGGCCCATCTGCTTGGACAGCTCCGTGTCCGACACCTGCCTGGAGAGGACCTGAGGGTGCGTGCGAGCTACAAACTGCTGGGGCTGGTGTCCCTGGCGCACCTGGCGCTCTCCGTGGGGCTGCAGCTGTACGGCTTCCGGCAGAGGCAGCGCGCCAGGAAGGAGTGGAGGCTGCACCGAGGCCTGTCTCACCGCAGGTGCGTGAGGGGCTGCACCTGCAGCTAGGGCGTCCCCAGCACACCGCGAGGACTGTGGGGCACTCTCCACATGGTTCTGTCCCCCCTTCCCCAGGAGCTCCTTAGAAGAGAGAGCGGTTTCCAGAAACCCGCTGTGCACACTGTGCCTGGAGGAGCGCAGGCACTCGACGGCCACGCCCTGCGGCCACCTCTTCTGCTGGGAGTGCATCACCGCCTGGTGTGCCACCAAGGTGGGCGCCGCCCGGGACCGTGCTCACTCTGCCTGGCGGCAGCAAAACCTGTCTCTGAAACCTCTCAGTCTGGGGTGGGGGGTGGGCATCTTTTCAAAAGCCCCCCAGGTAAGTCAGCTATGGGCCGTCTTTGGGGCTGAAGTTCCAAATTCACACGCTGAGGCTTTGCTGAGAGCAGCTGGAGGAGCTGCGGCCCTCAGAGGCCCTGGGCCCACGCGCCCCAGCACGTCCCGCCTCCTGGCGTCCATGCCACACTTCGGATCCCTGGCATGTTTACCCACACCTGCCTGGCCTCGAGCCCACGCAAGAGCTTCCGTTTCCAGCAGGACGGGTGCCCGCAGTGACAGCGCACACGCTGCCTCCCCTAAGCGGCCTGGCCCGGGGTGGGAGTGTCCAGCAGGGTGAGCAGCTCACCCTCCCAGGAGCCGGGGCTACCTGGGTGCCAGCAGGAGGGAGCCCATTCTCGGAGTGGGCTTAACAAACCAGGACACACACACGGCATTCCTTTCTCCAGACGTGTGCCCGAGACACTCACTGATGCCACTGTGCTGTTACTGATCACATTCACGGGACTCGTGTGTTCCTTTCTCCACACGCAGTAGGTGTTGCTAAGTCCTGTTTCCCCTCAAGGCGGCTCACCTATGTGGACGTGGACAGGGTGGCAAAACCTAGCAGGAAGGGAGCAGAACAGCACCCGCTGCCCCGTGGCTCTCACTGACAAAGCCTGAAGCCCTCAGTCCCGAAGTTCCTGCCGCGGCGTGGCTGGTGGCTCCCCGAGCTGCCCGCCCAGGTGTGCAGGACACAGACACGGCAGAGCTCAGCTGCCGGGAGGGCCGTGGCCAGTGACCTCTTCTTGCCTATTCTGAAACGCCCGGCAAAGAGGTCCCTGGTGCCCGAGGCCACAGGTGTTGAGGGTGGGCAAGGCACCCCTGGTTCGGGACCACATTCATGGCATGGGATTCAGGCTTTCTGGAAAAGGCTTTTTTCTTGCTCATAAGTTGAAGGAAATAGAACTGCATTATGGTTACAAAACAAACAGGGCAGGTGACACTGGGGCCAAGACCCAGCCCCAGTGGCCACAGCCTTTGTGACTGCCCCTCCCCTCCACAGATGGAATGTCCCCTCTGCAGGGAGAAGTTCCTGCCCCAGAAGCTCGTCTACCTGCGGCACTACCGCTGACCTGACGCCCAGATGCGTCCATCAGTGGATGGCGGAATCCAGGAGTCTTTTGAGTATCAAGGAGAAAAATGTTATCCTTAAGATTAACTTTACTTGCACAGAAATTATAAATTTTAACATTTTCTGGTTTTTGTCACGTAAGAGACCCTGCTAGCCACCTTAGAGCCGAGCCTGTCTGCAAAGGCGGCTGCCCAGGGTAGAGCCGGAGTGCCTTACTCCCCCATTTGGTACAACAGAGTTGTTCTTTAGGAATTTCACTTACTGGACAAGGTTTTAGGTTTCCCTCCCTCCCTCCCCCAAACCATACTCATCTCAGGAGCAGACCAGAAGAAAACTTTACTCACTTGCAAGAAAATGAGGCCGACGTCCGGGTGTGCCCAGGCAGCGGACTGAATGTGCCCCACTGACCTGGGACTGGCGAGGGGACGCGCATCTGCTCCGGGCAGAGCTGTCCCCAGGGCTTGATGTCAAGACCACGTGGCGTGGGAAGAAACAAGCCAAGGGTCGGCATCTGTGAGAAGTTTGGCACGTACCTTTTAATACACGTCTGCTTCCAGTTCCAGAGAATGGAAATCGGCGTCTAGGCCTTAGCACCGCGGAGGGACCTCTGCCTGCCTGGGGCAGGGTCCCCGCAAGTGGGTTTCATTTTCTCATCACCTAACCCACAAGTCTCGGATGCCGAGTGCTCCGAGGGAAGGCTGCCAGGTCAGCCATGCCCTCTCCTGCAGGCCCAGGTGTGGGCAGGTGGTGGGCGCACACGAGGTCACTGCTGCATCCAGCCCTCAGCTCAGCCCCAGCCCACTTCCTGCCTCTGATACGGCCAGATTTAACTCATGCCAGAGACAGAACTTTGCTGTAGGCATCTTTAAAAAACTAATTCTACAGAAATGTTGGTATGTTAACAAGATTGAACTGAAAAAAATCTCATGAAACATGGTGTGAAAATGCCCGTCAGGCTCTGGGCACATCGGCAGGGGTCAGGCCCAGCCAGTGGCACTGGCTTCGGCAAGACCTGTGCAAACTGTTTCCCAGTGTCTGACTTAGAAACAGAGATGCCTCCGTAATCCGGGGTTAGCCACGGTCAGCTTGCCAGAGACAGTGGGGCCCCGCGAGAGGCGCTGTAGGCAGGCGGCCAGATGCCTCCACGTTCGTGGGAGAGCCCAGTGCTTTACTTCACACTACGCTCCAGCCAAGCGTGCATTTCCTGCCACATCTTGGGCTTGAGCACTTACTAGTAAAACTGAAAAGTGAAAAAAAATGTCTAGAGTTGGAGGATCCCAAGTGCTTCAACATGGTAACAAAAGTAACGATTTGTAACATCACTCGAACATGATGGGTCAGGTACACAGAAGGGTTCTCATGGCCTTGTGGGAGGGCAGCTCGGTTTCAGACACGGGAACACTGGCACAAGAGTATCCAGACAGAACATTCAGAGTCTGAAATCGCAGGTGGGAAACAGCACCCGGAGTGGGGAGCGTCTGAACAGCCCAAAATCCAGAAGGAAAGACGTTTGCGTTTTGGTGTCTTTGTGCTCGTGACCACAGCTGTGCTGCTCGGCTACTGGCAAAAATGATTCACTTTTCAGGAAGGCCAGAAGGAAGCTGGGCTTTCTTGTGTGCAGCGACTATAGTGCGTTAGATAAAGACCACACAAGAAAGGGGACACTGTCTTTAATAAAGGTGGAATTTAAAAAATCACTTAGTAAAATGTTTGAGTATTTTTTTATCACATCAAAAAAGTTGACACGCAGGTGGGTTCTGTTCCCTGTGGAAGGCGAGAAGCTGAGTTCAAACCCACAGAGCTGTTCTGACCAGTTCTGCTGTTTCCTTAAAGGGGCCACCGCATGACAACAAATTTAAATTAATCAAAAACAAAACAAACTACGTATCAAAGAAATGTGTCAAAATAATCTCAAACAATTAAAATATAATATATATATTTTTATTGCGGTAAAAAAAAACATAAGATTCACTACCTTAACCATTTTTTGATGCACAGTCCAACAGTGTTAAGCACAAACGCTCCTCAATTTATGATGGGGTTATGTTCCAATAAGCCTATCATAAATTAAAAATGTCATAACTTGGGCTAGGCAAGGTACCTCACATCTACAATCCCAGCAATTTGGAGGCCAAGGCAGGAGGATAGCTTGAGGCCAGGAGTTCAGGAGCAGCCTGAACAACACAGTGAGACACCCATCTCTATGAAAAATTTAAAAATTAGCCTGGTATAGTGGCACACGCTTGTAGTCCTAGCAACTCAGGAGTCTGAGATGGGAGGATCACTCAAGCCCAGGAGTTCAAGACTGCAGTGAACTAAGATCCAGCCACTGCATCCAGCCTGGGCAGAGCAAGGCCCTGCCTCTTAAAAAAAAAAAACAAACAAACTTAAATCAAAAACGCATTTAATACACCTAGCCTGCCAAACATGATAGTTTAGCCTGGCCATGGCCTACCTTAAACATTCTCAGAACACTTACCATTAGCCTATAGTCGGGTAAATCCATATAACACAAAGCCTATTTTATAATCAAGTGTTGAATATCTCAAGTAATTAATACTGTACTGAAAACCAGAATGGTTTGTATGAGTACTTGAAATATGGTTTCTGCTGAATGCATATCATTTTTGCACCATCATAAAGTTGAAAAACCGTAAATTGGATCATAAGTTGGAGACCACCTCAATACACACATCATTGTACAACAGATCTCTAGCACTTTTCATCTTTCAGAACTGAAACTCTACACCCATTAAACAACTCCCATTTCTCCCTTCCCCCAACCACCGGCAACCGCCATCCTACTTTCTATTTCTAAGAGTCTGACTACTTTAGATATCTTATATAAGTGGAATCATGTAGCATTTGGCTTTTTGTGACACGCTTATTTCACTTAGCATAATGTCCTTAAGGTTCATTCACAGTTGTAGCATGTGACAGGATTTCTTCTAAGGCTGAGTAATATTCCACTGTATGTATATACCACATTTTGTTTATCTATTATCTGTCAATGGATATTGGGGTTGCTTCCATCTCTTGGCTATTGTGAATAATGCGGCAACAAACGTGGGTGTGCAAATCTCTTTTCAAGACTCTGCTTTCAATTCTTTTGGATATATGCCCCCAAGTGGAACTGCTGTGTCATATGGTAATTCTATTTTTAACTTTTGAGGAACCATGATATTATTTTCCATAGTGGCTGCAACATTTTACATTCCTACTAACAGTGAACAAGGATTCCAATTTTTCCACATCCTTGCAAACACATTTTATCTTTTTCCTTTTTGATAACACTCTTAACAAGTATGAGGTATTATCTCATTGTAGTTTTAATTTGCATTTCCCTGATGATTACTGATGTTGAATATTTTTCATATACCTACTGGCTATGTGAATGTCTTCTTTTGAGAAGTGTCTATTCCTCTGCCCATTCTTTAATCTAGTTATTTGTTTTCCTGCTATAGTTTTTTGAGTTCCTTATATACTCTGGACATTAACCCCTTATCAGATGTGTGATTCGCATATATTTTCTATCATTCTGCAGGTTGTTTCTTCACTTTTGTTTCCTTTGCTGTGCAGAAGCTTTTTAGCTTGATGCAATCTCATTTGTCTATGTTTGTTTTTGGGGTCATATCCAAGAAATCACTGCCCAGAATTTTCTATTTTTTATTAGGTCATTAAATATGAAATGTCTGATTTTAAATCAAAAGTTTATCATATCCCAAACAAGAAGCAGTATAATTAATCAAAGTATGTGCCTAAACTGTCGACACAGTTTTGCCATCTTAACGGTAGCTTGTTTATGCCAGCAGCGAAGAAGCCTGGAGAGCGAGTGGCAGTGAAATCGTGAAAGGCATTTTCCACAGCTTGTTGAGAACTGAATATTTTTCCTTGCAAGAAGTGTTCCAAAATCTGGAAACATTGGTAGTCAGGTGGTGCAAGGTCTGGTGAATACAGTGGATGATGGAGACTTTCCAAGGCCAGCTTCTGTTTGAGCAGCATTGTTTTTTGTGACATGTGGTCTTGCAAGATGATTGGCCTGACTCTATTGACCAATCTGCTGCTTAATTACAAGCATCCTTATCATTTCATCCAATTGGTTGCAGCAGTCATCCACTGTAATGGACTGACCAGGTTTCATGAAGCTGTAGTGGATAATACCAGCACTGGACCACCAAACACATACCATTAGCTTTTTTTTGATGAATATTCGGTTTTGGACTGTGTTTCAGCACTTTGTCTTTATCCAACCATGTGCCAAACACTTGGGATTGTCAAAAAAAATCCATTTTTCATCACGTGTAACAATAAAATGTAGAAATGGTTCGTCTTTATGTCATGACAGCAAAGAAAAACAAGCTTCGAGACAATTTCTCTTCTGATGCTTGTTTAATTCACGTGAAATCCATCTATCCAGCTTCTTTACTTTGCCAATTTGTTTCAAATGGTCCAATATTGTTGGAATGGTAATGTCAAATCTTGCTGCTAATTCATGCTTAAGTTGAGATGGATTTGTTTCCACTACAGCTTTCAGCTCGTCATTATCCACCTTGGTCTCAGGTCACCCACGTGGCTCATTTTGAAGATTAAAATCACCAGAAGGGAATTTCTTACACAGAACACACAATGTACTGTGTGTTCATTAGCCACATCCTTCCCAAACACTTTATTGATATTTCCAGCTGTCTATGTTGCATTGGTTCCGCAATGGAATTCACATTCAAAAATAACACGAATTTTTGACTTCTCCATGGTTTTGCAAAAATTGCTCTAAAAAAAAAAACCCCAAAAGATAATCACAAGCCAAAACACGCATTTGAAAGAATGAGGGCGTACCTTCACAATTAAAATAAAACAAGAAGTGTCAAAGTGAAACATCAGAGATATCAACTGTCAAACTTAGTACTTAAGGAAATTGGACAGTCCATACTTAATAACCTTAATAATAGTGGCCACCCGAATGGGTGTGAGGTGATATATCATTGTGGTTTTGGTTTGCAGTTCTCTAATGATTAGTGATGTTAAGCATCTTTTCATATGCTTATTGGTAAAGAGTTAAGTGTGTACAGTTTCATCTCTGCAACATGAAAAGTTCTGGAGATGGATGGTTGCGCAACAGCATGAACGTATGTAATGCCACTGAGCTGTATACTGAAAATGGTTATAATAGCAAATTGTATGTTATGTACATTTTTATCTTATTAATACCACAATAAGAGGGAGTTTGCACTGAATTGTACACTTTATATGGGTGAATTATATAGTACATGACTTATGTCTCAAAACTATTATTAAAAAATCAAAAAAAACCACCAGGCATGGCAGCACATGCCTGTAGTCCCAGCTACTCCAGGAGGCTGAGGCAGGAGGTCTGCTCGAACCTAGGCGTTGGAGGTTGCAGTGAGCTATGATGACACCACTGTACTTTAGCCCAGGCAACAGAGCAAGACCCTGTCTAAAAAAAAATAATAATAATAATTTTAAAGTTATAAAACTTAAAAAACAACAGGCCAGGCACACTGGCTCACGCCTGTAATCCTACCACTCTGGAAGGCTGAGGTGGGAAGATCGCTTGAGGTCAGGAGTTCAAGACCAGCCTGAGCAAGAGCAAGACCCTGTCTCTACTAAAAATAGAAAACTTAGCTGGGTGTGGTAGCCTGTGCCTGTACTTCCAGCTACTGGGGAGGCTGAGGCAGAGCACTGCTTGAGCCCAGGAGTTTGGGGTTGCAGTGAGCTATGATGATGCCATTGCACTCTAGCCAGAGTAACAGAGCAAGACTCTATCTCAAAAGAAAAAAAAAAAACGAAAACCAAAAACACAGAACTTTGTTTCTAGGTTCCTATCAGGCAAAGTCATTAATGTTAAATCAATACTGTTTGCAAATATTAACTTTGGCCATTAATAATGTTCCAAAAGATAAATTCACATTATTAATATGATAATGAAAATCGGTAATAACTTTTAAGAGTTCTTTAACTTGAATAAATGACTTAATTACCTACACTTCTATTTAAATTTTTAGTGCCAGTCTTATTTGGTTCAGCTAAGTAATTAAAAAAATCACAGAATGAGTCTTAAAATCAAAAAGGGGTTCACTAAATTACCTTGAGGGTCCCTTCCAGCCTAAATTTCCAACTCTCTGACCAAAAAGGGTATTGTCTCCACCAAGTTGAAGGAAAGCCCATGTCTAGGGATGACAGAATTATGGGCTGCCAGGGCTGCAAGGGGCCTTAGCAATAAACCATCTTCCAGGGGAGCAAACACGGGTGCTTCATGGTCACAGTGAGGCTCTAGCGCCCTGCTTGCCTCAAACTGACCCAGATGTTTGGACACTGGAAAGACCTTGTGTGTGCAGCCAGACACTGAGCGGACAGACCCAGCCATGTAACCTGGAGCAGGCTTTCACCTACCTAAGTCCTTATCTTTGAAAGGGAGTGATAATGCTGACTGCACAGTAAAGCTGTAGAAGAAATAAAAACAGGGGATGTATGTGATCATGTTCAGCCCAGTGCCTAGAACCCAGCACTTTATCATTTTAAGATGATCTCAATTATACAATCACCATTATTTTATTAATTGCCGAGAAAGAAAAAAGCATTTTCAATCAAATTATGACTTGCACCAATCAGATTTATCTCAGTTTCAGAAATGTTAAAATGTGAAAAAAATGAGTGCTTAGCTTTGATGATATTTAGTAAGTGCTCAATAAACACAGGGAAAGAGTCCCAGCTGCTGCACCTCTGACTGTAGACGGAAACTCAGTTCTGGACAACAGATTCAGAAGCCTTATTTTGGTCTGGAGTCCAACCCATGTTCTTCAAATCAACTTCCCCTACAAGCAATGGATACTCCTCATCCATGTCTATTCTCATTTGCACAGAACTCACAAAGGAGAAGAA